TGCATAGGTGATTTATATGGGCTTCAAAAGACTTAGGTAGTGAACCTGAGGTCACCTGCAGTCTCGTGTGCTTTCATTGGTACAGGACACGTTCTTCCGTTACCTCAAGTCACCGGTGTACAAAGACACCCAGAAGAAGGCACTGAACCCTGAGCCTCACAACTTCAGGTAAACCAATCTCATACCTTTTAAAATATGTGTGTGATTCTTTGCCGTTTAATTTTTCATCTTTCAATGCTGTGAGCATCACAAATAAAATTCCATTGAACTCTGTTACATCAGTGTGGAGGCAAAAATCTTAAAGACAAAGCTTTTTTAGGCGTTATTGGTCATGTATAAAGGAACCAGAAGGTACTTGGCTTGTGGCGCCAAAAGCGCCAAAAAAATACATTTGAAGAACTCAACAGCAATTTCTCTTTGGTCAGTGTACTTTGTGGCCAATAGGTCATTGTTGTTTTTTTCAAAAGAAAAGAAATGGAAAATGAGTATGGGAAGTTTTTTGTTTTATTTTTAAATTGGAAAAAAGGTCATATTTTTATTTTTAAATTGGCGGGTGTAGTTTGGTAGAAAGAAAATAGTTCCTACAGAATACTGCTAAACAAAAAAACAAGGTCTGTGGATTATTTTCAGTAACCTGGTCATGGTTTCTGGAAAGAGACATTGCTGCTTTACATAGCTTTACAATAATCATGAGCTCTTCATGTTTCTGTTTCCACCCTAGTCCGGCCCAGCTAGAGCAAAATGCGCGGAACCTAAGCCCAGGCATCCATCCCATCATCCTCTGGCAGCAGGAGGAGGAGGAGAAGGCCAAGGCCGCCACTGCCTCCGCCCCTGTTGACGTCAAGGCCATGATGAGCAAAATAGACAGGAAGAAGTAGAGATATGCAGTGGAAGTGTGTGTGTGTGCAGGGTTCTACATGTCACGTCACACACACGGTACCAACACAGGAACCAGCCCTCTGTTACAGGGTGCGTAGTATATGCTGTATATAAGGATTTGCTTTGTTCTTCAGTGTCATGCCAATAAATGTTGTTCTGTTTCAGCAAATTATTAAATGTGTATATTACTGTTCTAAATCTCATATATATAACCATGAATATTTCTTGTTGGAAACCCAATCAATCAACTGCAAAGAGACACAAAATGACTCTTGTTCCTATGTAAGAGGGATGGGGTTTTATATGCCTGTGCCCAGGGGTCCGATGTCTCATAATGCGGTCATGGTTTTCATGGATACATATTTAAAGAATTATGCTGTAAAATATCAGACATATAATTGAAACTAAAGACCTTCCCTGTTTTTTAGAAAGTGAATTTCAGAGACTTGCTAACTATGTTTTGTTTCTATACAGTTTACATTAATGTCAAAATTTGTATCAACAAATGTTATTGTAACTCATGTTAAATACTAGACACTTTTTAGAAAATATTTTTATTATATATATTACACTAGCTGCTTTGTCCAAAACCAAGCCTATTGTTTGTCAGATTTTCACTAGAGCTAATTAAACAGCATTTTCTTAGTTATATGTTTCATGCATATTACTTCATACAAGATATGAAGGTGTGAACACTGAAGGCACTATAGCTTCTGTTACTGAAGTATGTATATACTGCTGCCTACAAGACATGTTTTATCAGTTATACTAAAATGTCTATATTCTGCAAACTACTAACCAGTCACACTGAAGTTAAAGAGAGCTAAATTATCTTTGGAAAATTTTGTACATTATGTAATTTCTCCCCAAATCTAATAAATGAGATTAAGCCAAGTCATAGCAGACTTCAGATCATTGTGTTTATGTTATATGTAATAAATAATTATAATATTGAACTGTCAGTACAGTTTATGGCAATTCTTTTAACACAAGTGAAGCTGACTATTCAGCCTGTAAAAAATGTGTTATATCATTCCTTTTGTGGCTCTGGAGGCACTTTCTAGTCTGATGACATTATAGAGTTATCTCAGATTGTGCTTGAGATGGGAAATTTTAAACAGAAAGTCTGTTTTACAAAACGGGGGCCAGTAGTTTGAAAGGTACAGGCATTCACCAAACAGGGAGGATCTTAACAAAAACATGCTCTTGGTTGCATTACGGAAAGTGTAAGATCCAGTATTTTTGGAATTTAACTCATATTGACTAAAGGTCAGGAATCAGGATGTCCCTTAATGTTGTTCTGGGCTTCTGTAGAAACATGGTGGTTCCACATGGCAGACTCCATTGAAGGCGACAAAAAAAGATTGTTTTCAGCTGATTATACACTAATAGTGTCATGATTACCATGTTCACCACCTTAGTTTGGTGTGTTAGTAAACATGCTAACATTTGTCCAGCTGAGGCTGATGGGAATGCTTTTAGTGTTACAGGTATTTTGTCATAAACCATTGAGTTGGACAAATACAAATTTTGACCTTTTGCGCTAGATGTAAAGTTAGATAATCAAGTTATTACAATTCATCCTGAGGGAACATTAATGCATGCACACCACATTTCAATTTCTGGACCACAGTGGTGGATGAACCAACTCAACCATCCATGCAGCATGTGGCTAGCCTAGCTAAAAATTATGGAATGTACAAAATGAAACCAATCTAGGATTGAACTACTCTGTTTCTTTTTCTTCCATTGATTATTTACGGAATCGAAATTATTACTTATATTTATGTTATCAGAAGTTCTCAAAGAAGGCATTTCAGTGTAAGCCGGGGATAACTCAGAAGCCAGGTTCACACAAAGAATGCAGGGAAGTATGCAAACAATGCCGCTCGCTTTGGTGCTGCTCGACTATGCATACATGTTGTTAAAAAAGAAAAGTGCTTGCATTGACAATACTCTAGTACTGTCAGTGCTTGCTAGCACATGAATTACACTTTTCTCATTTCCATATGTTCAGTCTCATTTGCATCAATTAATCAAGTAAAGTGAATCACACAGGACACATTCTTCAAAAGACAAAATTATATTTACTATACAGAGTACTTTTACAAAGTTTTGCGAAGGCAAATAAAGTCTGGAGCAATAAAGGGTTATTTGGCCATGCCAGACAGCCAGCTGAGTTTGAATAAAGATGGAGTGGCTGTGTCCTCGTCCTGATCAGCAAGCTGTCTGAATAGGCTGCCCGGCCGGAAGCTGTCCTCAATGTTTGCTGTGGAGGACGGAGGTGCCTGCTGGAGGATGGAGAAAACATGAGCAAACATTAAAAAAACCTGGTAGATCCAGGGTCACAGTAAAGAAAATGAGAACATGTAGCAGCTCTAAAGCAGTTTTGAACTAGGGACTAATTTAATTGTTTCCAGAAGAAAATGTGGTAGTGGGTGCAAGTGTTATTATGGAACACCTGAGCCAATGACTCACAGAAAACCTGGATTATTCTGCTGTCTGTGCTCACCACCAAACACTGATAATTTTGGAAACACGTGTTGGAAATAGTTGGAAGTTTGCCGTCTTATCAAGAGTCATCAAAATAACATAAATAGATTTTACCACTGTGTACCCAGTACAGAGCTCTGTTGGACACCGTATACCCCTAAATGGGCTATAGAGTTTTAAAAGGTCCAGCGTGTAATGTTTAGGAGGACCTATAGTCAGAAATGGAATATAACATTCA